CCAGGGAAGTGCACAGATTTATCTTTACAACTACATGCCCTGGAGTGTGCTAGTCCCCCTTTTAAGGAGGTGTTTTGTAAAATAATTTCGAAATTCCAGCAGCTCTAGAAGGAAAAAAAAGAAAATAATAAAAATAAGTGTTTCTACTTTTTAAACAAAATCTTTTGTTTAATGCATTTTCCCCCCTTGTTCTGCTTGCTATTCAGTGATAAAGGAACTTGTAACAACAAGTAGTAAAATATGAAGGAAAGTGCTGGTGAAATAAAGCAGTGACCCAGTCCTTGCCTGCAAGACCCTCATCACTGCCCTAAATTCCCTTCTCCATCTTCATGGGCTCCCAGCATCCTGTGCTTTACAAACCACTCTCACTGTAAGCTCAGGACTTGCTCACCAGTCAAACCATTTATGTTCTTACCCTTCCCCAGTCTTTTCTTATTTATAAAACTCACGTGCATATGTACATTATCATATGTCTGTAACACACAGATAAACACAGTATATCTGTACATGTGTATAAATTAATTGATATACATCCACTTAAATTTAAAATGTAGTAATTTATGTATTGATTAATAACCAGGGCCAGATAATTAATAAACAGGACCAGAAGAAAAGCTGTTAAATATCACAAATCATTTAGTTTGGAAAAGACCTGCCAAGACTGACCCATCATCCCCTTGTCACCAGACCAGAGCAGTGAGTGCCACATCCAGTCACTCCTCGAACACAAATATCCTCTGAATTCCAGAATTTCTCACCACAGTATCCTTCTAATTCCTTGTCACCCATCCCTGAAACGTCCATGTGGTTCTGGTGGATGGATGCAGTGGACAGAGTGATGTAAATACTGGAGGATGTATGGAGTGGGTAGAGTGATGCAGATACTGAAATTTTGGATCTTCAAGGTCAGCTTATCACTGACTTAAATTAGGGTAGGATTCCCCCTTGTTCATTGAATTTGGGGTTTGTTTTTTATATTTAAAAGCAATGTACCAGCAAGGATAAAAGGTATAACCCATAATCCTCGTGAGCTCCAACCAAAGCTTCCTCCCAACCATCCTGGAAGTCACTATTTTGTAACCAATTTGCTATAATTAAAGACTGAAAGCAAAATGAAGGGAGCAGAACATCAGTCTTTTTCTACTCTCCTGATAATCAGGGAATTGTTAAGTGCATTTTGAAGAGCTGCCTGACAATACCTGGAGTGCCAGAGTGGCAACTGCACCGGAGCCACGAGGTGACACAGGGATGGATTTACCCTCTCTGGCATAGAAGTCCTTTTCTTACAAAAGTCACAATTTTGTGAGAAAATAGGGCCAAAGCTGAGGCTGTGTGAAATTCCTGCATAAAGGAATCCATGTGCAGGATGAACACCAGGTTTCCATAAGAGCTGGCCCAGATTGGGTTCCTGTATTGATTTATTTTACTATTTATTTATTCACTCACTGGCCTTTCTTCCATGTACTCATCCCCAAAACAAGATATCATGTCATTTTTCTCTGTATATACGTAATCAACTAATTGTTTCAAAGTATCTCAAATTAACAGGCTTGTTCCATAGGAGTGAAAAAAAAAAAAATTCAGCAAGTAATGAGAGATTTGTCCATCCAGGGAAAGGAACAGTCTTTAGAATTTACCAGTGGTTGTTCTAATCCTACTCTAAACTTATTCTAACATGCTGCTCTTTTATCCCCAGTTTGTTCCCTCTTCAGAAAAGGGCACAGAGTCAATTAAATTGAATATATTCCTGTATTAGCACAGGGAAGGCTGCACAACATCTTAGCATGTTCCTCTCTCTTCTCTCCCTCTCCCCTTCCAAGATGAAAACCTCAACAGTTCTTATGTATAAAGATATTTTTTTCACCGCGAGCTTCCTTTTTTTTTTTTTTTGTGTAAAACATGGAGTTTTCTGGAATCCCAGGCCTGGCTTGCAGAGAAGTGTGTGTATTTAGCAGTGGAGATGTGGCAGCCCGGGTGAGGTTTAAACTCCAGGCTGGCATCCAGGGGCTGGGCTGGCTCAGGAGCTGGGATGTGACTGTATTTACGGTATTTTCCCGAAGCTTTCCATTCTAAGCTCTATTTAATGGAATCTATGCATAGTAAGTAATCAGGTCAGAGAGAAGCAACATCCCCTGTTTGAGATCAATCGCTGGCTAATACTTTATCTAGGCCACTTTATTATCTCATGCTGATTCCATTCCCATTCTCCTCCTCCTTTGTAGCGTGCACTTCAGCTGTGGTAAAAGTACGGATCACATACATATTAAAAACATATACCCATTCTATCTGTATGTAAATGTGGGAGGCACAGCTGGATATTGCAGGAGTTTGATTTACTAATAGTTATTATCTGTTCTAGCTGTTCAGAGGCAAAGAGAGTTGCAGAAAACAAGCTAGCGCAGAAATTGCCTTTATGATATCACTGCCCTGCTTTGGTAATTGTTTAAAATCTCTTCTTTAGCTGGAAGCTTGGCCTTTTCCTTGGCAGATTGGACATGGTTTTCAGAATTGGGGAAGTCTCTTGGTGAGGTGTTGTTTTTTTTTTGTTGTCAGTGCGGCATTGAACTCTATCGTGCTACATCTGGCTATTTAAATGACAAGAAATTGTATTTGAAGTACCAAAAGTCAGGGATGTGGCACTTATTCCATTCTGCTTTCCCAGTCTTTAGGATGCTGCTTGGATTTCTCAAGGAAAGATTGGGGTAAAAAAGACAAAGCTCTAGGCCAAGGGTGCAGTCACCTCCTGCACTTGATTACTTTTGCACAGATCTAATAATTTTTGTTCAAGTCTCCAAATTTTAAACACAACTATGAACTTTTCTCCTTTTTTTCAAATTGAAATTACTGGTGCTTTTTATGTCAGTGTTGTGTTAATTTAGAAGGTTGTGTTATAAATTGTACATCATCTGTGTCAAAACCTGCTGGAAAACATTCTTTTTTAAGTATTATTATTTTAATGCCTAATGCAATTTTGATATTTCCCATTCCTGTGCATCCAGAAATCCCTCTCTCCGTTCCAGGAATGGCTTTAGACCAGGCACCCTGATCTTTTTAGCTGTAATGGGAGATTTTTCACATAAATAGTTTGTGTATTTAAATGTGTTAAGATACATGTCAAGATGTTACAGATTCTCAAAAATGGGTTCTGTCTCCCTGTTCCTCCATCTCAAACAAGTGCAGGAAATTAAAAAAGTAGCTGTATTTTAAGTTGCAATATTTTAAGTAGGTATATTTTAATTAGCTGTGTTCTAGAGGATCTAGACAAAAGCACTTCTCACCGGGTAGGGACCATAAAATGGTCCATGTTTGGACCTGTGATGGATGGCTCTGTTTGCAAACATTTAGGCTCCCCTCTGTCACAATGATCCCAGTTATTCACTCCATGACAAGGAGAAATTCTGACAGACACCAAACACATGCCAGATGTGAAGGAAAGGGCTCTCTCCTGATTTCCCAAGGCAAAAAGTACAGAGCCAAGTTTTAGCTGTTGTAAATATAGAATCATTTAGGTTGGAAAAGGCTTTT